GTTCCAGCACTGTGTGGTTTGAATTGCTTTTGCATCTAGTTGAAATCACTTGTCTATATACAGGGTCCAGCACAAATAATGCCCATTTTTTTATTACAAAATCATAAGCATGTAGTTCTGTAACATGACAATATCACACCATATGACATTTTAGGTGAAATGTTCAAATTAAAACTATAAATTATTACACCCATATTATTGCCCTACCAACCACAATCAAGCAGGCCTCGCTTCTGCCAGACTCTGTGTATGCATTTGTCTATGTCTGTACTAGGTGTTCCACTCATATATTTGTGTATGTCCACACAATGCCACACTGTTTTGATTGATGTAGTTTTCTAGTAAGTCTTGAAATCAGGAAGTGCTAGTATTCCAACTTTACTCTTTTGGGTTATTTTGGCTAGCTATTCTAGGTCCTTTGTATTTCCATATCAATTTTAGAATCAACTTGTCAATTTCTACAAAAAAGGTTTAATGGGATTTTGTTTTTCTTTTTTCTATTTTTATTTTTTAAGTGTATTTTATTGATTATGCTATTACACTTGTCCCAAATTTTCTTGTTTGGCCCCCCTCTGCCTGGTATCCCCATTCCCTCCCACAATCCCCCACTTAGTTCATGTTTATGGGCCATGCGTATAAGTTCTTTGGCTTCTCTAGTTCCTATACTATTAACATCCCCCTCTCTGTTTTGTATCTACCAATTATACTTCTTAATCCCTGCACCTTTCCTCCAATCTCCCCCTTCCATCTCCCAGCTTATAACCCTCCAAATGATCTCCATATCTATGATTCTGTCCCTGTTCTGGTTGTTTACTTAGTTTGTCTTTCTTTTAGATTCAGTTGTTGATAGTTGTGAATTTGTTGCCATTTTAATGTTCATAGTTTTGATCTTTTTCTTAAATAAGTCCCTTTAACATTCATGGAATAACAGCTTGGTAATGGTGAACTCCTTTAGCTTTACCTTGTCTGGGAAGCACTTTATCTGCCCTTCCATCAGCCTTCCATTCCATGTTGGTTTTGCTGGATAACCTAGGTTGTAGGTTATTGCTTTTTATCACTTGGAACACTTCTTGGAAGTGCCTTCTGGCCTGCCAAGTTTCTTTTGAGAAATCAGCTTATAGTCTTATGGAAACTCCTTTGTAGGTAACTCTCTGCTTTTCTCTTGCTACTTTTAAACTTTTTCCTTTTTCTTTAACCTTTGGTGTTCTAATTATGATGTCTTGGTGTGGTCCTATTTGGATCCACCTTGTTTGGGGCTCTCTGTGCTTCCTGGACTTGTATGTCTAGTTCCTTCACCAAATTAGGGAAGTTTTCTTTTGTTATATTTTCAAGTAAGTTTTCAATTTCTTGCTCTTTCTCTCCTTCTGGCATCACTATGATTTGGATGTTGGTACGTTTGGAGATGTCCCAGAGGCACCTTATGCTGTCCTGGTTTTTGGATTCTTTTTTCTTCTTGCTGTTCTGATTGAATGCTTTTTTCTTCCTTATGTTCTAAATTGTTGATTTGATACTCAGTTTCATCCCCTCCACTGTTATTTTCCTATAGATTTTTCTTTATTTCACTCAATGTAACCTTCATTTCTGCATGGGTCTTTTTTATGCTTTACTCAATGAGTTCTTTGAGCATCCCGATAACCAGATGTTTTGAATTCTGCCTCTTACAGGTTGGTTGTGTCTGTTTCCTTTCATTCTTTTTCTGGAGTTTTGTTCCGTTCTTTCAATTGGGCCATATTTCTTTGTCTCCTCAATTTAGCATCCTCCCTGTGTTTGTTTCTGTATATTAGGTAGAGCTGCTTTGACTTCTTGTCTTAGGAGCATGGCCTTTTGCAGAAGAGCGAACTTGTAAATTGTGTGGGGCAGAGCCTTAGGTGATCACTAGGGTGGGACAACCCATTTCACTGCTTTGTGGCTCTGCATTGGGGTAGGGCTTTGAGAGAGGACAACACTGCTGCCTGGCTTATGGAGATTTGCCTGTGAGGAAGCTGTCTTCCAGCACTTGCCCTGTTTCCAGTCTCCTCATTTTCTTCCCGTACGCCATTTGTGTCCTGCTGTTGTCCTGGTGCTGAAGCCCTGAAGGGGTGGGTCTGTGTAAATTCTAAGTCCATGCAGGCCCTTTTAGATGAGTCTTCTGATAATCTGGCAGTTTCTTCTGCTGCCCCAACCCCTACTGATTTTTATAGCCAGAAATTATAGGGATTTATCTTCCTGGCACTAGAGCCCTGGGCTACTGGGTGGGCTGATTTGGAGCTGGGATTCTCTTGCTCCTGATGTATTTCTCCCAATTTTTACCCACCACAAGTGAACGTGTACCTCCTTGTTCTGCCAACTCTCCACGCCACTCCTGCTGCTCCACACCATACCCATCACTCTGTGCTTCGCTGCCCCTCCTACACATCTGGATGAATGTAGCTTCTTTAAATCCTTGGTTATTGGACTTCCATATGGCTTGATTTTCTGATGGTTCAGTGTGTTATTTGTTTTGTAGTCTAGATGTAATTTTTTCTGTAGTTGGGTGAAGAAACAAAGCATATTTACTTATGCCTGAATCTTGATCAGAAGTCCTTCAAACATGTATTTTTAGTCTGGCTATTTGTAAGATTTTCACTGGTTTTGAGCCATGTGATTTTGTTGTACTTTGGTGTGGTTTTCTTCATGTTTCTTGTGCTTGGGGTATTCTTGAGTTTCTTGGATATGTGAGTTTATAGTTTTCATAAAACCGAGGAATAATTTGGCCATAATTTCTTCAAATATTTTTTTATGTACTGCCTTTTGGGGACTCCAATTATGTATTTATTAGTCGGCTTGAAATTGACCCACAGCTCATTGATACCGTATGTATTTTTAAGAATATTTTTCTCTGTGTTTCATTTTAGATAGTTTTATTGCCATGTCTTCATGTTCACTAATCTTTTATTCTGGAATGTCTATTCTGCCAAAAATCTCACATTTATTTTTCCATCTTAAACATGTAGTTTTCATCTTTAGAAGTTTGATATGAGTTAATTTATATTTTATATGTTTCTACTTAACATATAGAATATAGTTGTAATAATTATTGCCCTAACTGCTAAATCTAACAGCTGTGTTAGTTTGGGTAGGTTTCAATTTATTTTTTCTTCTTATTATGGGTCACATTTTCTTGCTTCTCTGCGTGTCTGAAAACTTTAGTTTGGAAACTAGACATTTTACCTTCAGATGATGGGTATTATTGTTTCCCTATAAATATTCCTTAGATTTATTCTGCAACTTAGTTACTTAAAAGCAGTTTGATCTTTTCTGGTAAGATTTGGTATGTAAAACTATGTTTTTGAGTCATGTTTAATGCTAATTATTCCCCACTACTGGTGCAGGACCCTCCTATGTACATTATTCAGTGCCCTTTGGATTATGATGTTTTCTCATTTGGAAAGTTACTCAGCCTCTCTGGTGCTGTTGAGCAGGAGGTGCTCTTTCCTATACTCCTTTCTGGTGGTTCTTTTCTTGGTTTGGATAATTTCCTCACATGCTTCTCTTTGGAGTCCTCTTTCTATGCAGGTCTCTCTTTTCTGGTGTTGTCTTTTGAACTCTAGGTCTTTCTGGACTCTAAACTGTATTTCATCAACTTATAAGTTTACTGAGATCTACTCATGTTCCCCTTCCATGCACTGAAGCCTGTAATTTCTCTTAAGGCACTTAGCTGGGCAATCAGACAACTCATCTAATTTCTTTTGGGTCTCTCAGGTTTGACTGTGCTTAGTTCTCTGATGTCCAGTATCTTGAAGACCATTGTTTCATATATTGTTCAATGCTATTAGCTATTTCAAATGGGGTGGGGGTGAAACTTATCATTGAGACTCGTCATGAAGTGGACATATGTGTATGTATTTAAAAAATAAATATGTGTATGTATGATTTAGATGCAAGCACCCTAGCTAACCCTAGTCTGTAAGTTGAGAACCACTGCTCTAACCCCATTGAACTACTTATCGCTGATCTTCAGTCATCCACTTGCCTTTGTTTCTATGTCTTTGGTTTTCCATATCCCTACATCCTGAATACCTTCTTCTCCTTTGTTTTCCCTGTCCAAAATTTAAAGGTTCTTTAGTGTTTAATAAAAAAACTATCATCTCCTTCTCAGAGTAGCAGGGCCTCCACCTTTCTGCTGAGGAAGTCATTCCTTTCTAGGTGCTTCCATAGCAAATTTATTACATTAAGAATCACAGTTGTTATATTCTGCATTTTATGATTGTTTGCTCATCCATTTGTAAGATTCCTAAGGTCAGACACTTGGTCTGTCTTGCATGAAGTAGTATTATACTGTGTCCTACGGAATGGAGGGCCTTGAAAGCGAGAGATCAAATGCTAGAACTAAGCACTATAGAGAGGTGGTTTTGAAGATCTATTTCCTCCCTTTTGTTGATTCAGGCAGTCTAAGATTCGGTTAGCAAATAGATTTCATCTTGGTTGGTGAATCTGATTGGTTTGTTGAGAAGGATTCTGAGGCCAAATCCTGGCTCCATGAGAAAGCTAGCCATTAGATAAGATAAAATGTTGGTGTGTCTCAGGTATTTTGATAGTTTTGGCTAAAAAAACTAACAAGTATATAATTAATGTCAGGTAGTGTTCTAAGCATAATGCACATATCAACTAACTCGGTTACTCTCCCTGACAACCCATTGAAGTAAGTTCTGTTAATATCATCATTTTATAGGTAGGAAAACTAAGGCACATAGAGGTTAGAAACTTGCTCAAGTTACATGATGGGTAATCCTGGCTCCAGCATCTATGTTTTTATCACTGTTTTACTGTCTTCATGTTGAGCATTCAATGTTACAGGAAAACTGAGGTAGTCAGCACACACAACTATACTTTTATAGTGTGGAAGGGACAAAGTGAATATGTTGTTTGTTAGTATGATAGTGACCCAAGCTTCCCAAACTTTTATGTTAGATTAGAAAGATTCATCTTCCATGATTCTTATTGTGAGTTGTGTCTGACCCTTTTGTGTTTTATTTCTGTAGGGTCCCTGGCCAGCTCTGTCTTTGACCCACTCAGGTATCTTGTGGGTGCTTCCGGAGGCGTCTATGCTCTGATGGGAGGCTATTTTATGAATGTTCTGGTGGTAAGACCTTTGGGAATGTAATCTATGGGACTTTTGGGGTTTTTTTTTGAACAATAACTGGTATTTGGTTTAGGGAATCTTCATTTATCAATATTTAATGAGCACTCATCTTCCTTTTGACCACCATTTTTTTCACATTTTATCTTTATTTTCCCCTGGTCTCAAAACTAATGAATACTCAACAAAATTTTAAATTGAAAAATACAAAGTCAAAATCCCCAATGTAGTATGTTAACAGTTTGATATACATCCTTTCAGATCTTCTTTTTGTATTAAAAAATCCTACCAATATTAATATTACAAAAATAGAACTGCCCTTATAGTGTTCTGCTTTTTAACAGAGTAGTATCCTGACCATCTGTCCATGTCAGGACACAGAAATCCACCTCCAGCTTTTCAAGTGCTCCATAGCCCTCTCTATAGAGCTGTATCCTGACTACTTAATCTTTCACTGGAAAAAATATGCGGTGATTTCAGCTCTTCACATTTACAAATAATGCCATAAAGAATGTTCTTCTACGTTTATCTTTTTGCATTTGTGTGATTTTTTTTTTTTGGTAGGATAACTCTCTAGAAGCAGGTATCAATGCCAAATCATCCTCCAAGCTTGCATACTATTTTATGTTTTCATGATTTAGTATGTGAGAATGTCAACCTTTTTTTAAAACAGGCTAAAATCCTGTCTAGTTCTTAATATTTTAACCATGTAGGTATACTTTAAAATATAAAGTACTTCTAGTTTATTTATGTATGTTTATATATCTTTACTTTGAAAATACTATAAGTTGAAAAATATGAAGCAATTAGAAAACTGTTCCAAAAATGGAAGTCATTTAGAAAAATTTTTTCCAATCTTTGGATTGCATTCCATTAGTAGTAGTGAACTCAGTTTAAGGGTTGTGAAAACTTAAGCAAAAAGAAAACAGTGAAAAAAATTTTCAGTATGCATCATGTATAGTAAGAATTAGTTTGATTTATTGTATACTGGATTGTTAAGTAAATTATTTCTTACTGTGAGTCATAGTCACAACAGTTTGAAAATAATTTATTTTGAATAAACATGGCTAATCCAGCATGTTTACTCCTTGGGAAGAGAGTGGATAACTTGAAAGGAAATGGTATGTAACTCAATAAATTAAAGTGGCAATGTCTTTCTGACTTCATTCTCTGTAACCCGTGAGGTTACTGCAAGCTGGACTGAGATGTGTTTTTTTCTGACCAACATTTTAGATTTTTTTGAAATTATCTAAAAAAAATAAGGTAGTACTCAAATAAATTAGTTCTTTCCTAACTCTTACTCAGAAAGAGGACAAAGAAGTATCAAATAAACATTAACCAAAAAAACTTGAAAATATTTCATCAGACGTAGTTTGACAGCGTATCTGTCTATCCATCTAATGTTACATGTTGATTTTATGTTACTTATAGTTAGATCATTTCCTGACAATAAAATTGTGTCTAGTTTATATCATGCATGGCTAAATGTCATGTTTCAATTTAGTTCCCCAAAGTGCACCAGAGTTGTACTTCCCAAATTGATTTGAAAACTGGGCTATTATTAATCCAATGCTTTGTTTTGCAAGTACCTGACACTCAGACTTTATTCTACGTGAAAAAGAAGATGAAGAGCACAGTTGAGGTTTCATTTGCCAATAGAGAGCTTATCTTATTTTTATTATCTCTTTGCAAGAATTTTCGAGAAATGATTCCTGCCTTCGGAATTGTCAGACTACTGATCATCATCCTCATAAGTAAGTTGGTTTTGTGGACTTTTCACACCCTCAGTTTTACCAGTTCATGCTTCAGGTCTCCTCACGTTTCCTGTATGCCAACATGGAGGACAACTGCTAGCCTAGAGTCAGAAAATTGTCAGCTCCCTACGCCCTGAGCCAAAAGGTGTAAATGGTGGAGTCTTCACAGACCCTCGTGGGTGGTTCTTGGAGGTGTCTTAGTAATATGGTTTTGCTTTTAGTTTCTTAAGTGAGGGAAGTCGAAAGAGTGGACTCTAGGCTCTGTCCACTGCACCCACAGTGACTTCATTTGTTTTACAGAATGGATTTTTCTTGTTCATACAGTGGATTCTGTACATATTTTTTATTTCTGAAAAGGGAAAGCTTGAAAACCACTGATACTATTTCCTTCCTCAATTTCTAAATTTTCAGATTAAAAAAACTCATCTAGGATATAAGCATGGAGTAGTAGCTGAGGACTGAAAATGAGAGTGGATGATGACAGGCCCGAAAGTTCAGGGAACTGAGAGGATGACTAATGTGGCCTTTGACAGCTCCAGGAACTACAGAAGAGCATTATGTGCTAGAGAAATTCTAGGAAGAGTGTTCGATCTGGAGAGGAGATGGGATCTTAGCTGAGTCTGAAAGTCGGGCTAGATTTCTGGATGGCAGCAGACCGCACAAGGTAGAAAAGAAAACGTCAATGTGAGAGTGTCCAAACCTGTAGAGGATTTTCATGAGTTTCTTGGAGCCAAACTGATGACATACACTCGGGGGGCAAGATTTCAAATGCTCTGGAAAATAGTTCTGCAGCATCTGTTATGCATTTGAATTTAAGGAGGAAAGTAAGGAAGATTGGAGAAAGCAAGGCAGGGACTGGATTAAAAGGTAGTTAGCAAGATTATGTGCTCTCTTGAGGGTGAATACCCCCTTCCAGGGGTATGTAGACATTTCAAAGGTGTGTGAACCCAGATGCATGAGGACAATGGACAGGGTTGGCTTCAAACCTTTCACTAAAGAAGTTACAGGCCTGGGGCATGACTGCCTATCCACCATGACCTGGCCAGTTAGGAATTTATAGTAAGCTCACCTTGTGAGGTTACTTTCTCTAGGACCCCTTTCTTCACCCACAGAAGCAAGAGCGAAAGCAGGGCCAGTCACTTGTGTTTCCAGAGCCGATCAGCTGAAGCTGTATCCGCTTGGAGGGTGTGGGGAAAAGAGCAGATGTTGGGGTCCGACTGTGGTGACAGACTGGAGGGCCAAGACAGAGAAGACACTTGATAAAGCTTAAGAGTTTGGCTGTCTGCATGGTAAGAAAAAAATGATTCTGCTTATTGGTATTAAGAGTTCAATTATACATACTGCAGGAATGGGGACAACCACTTCTGAGAAAAGTGACTAGACTTAGTGTATGAACAGTTTAACTGTAAAAATAACGTTTGGTCCTGAGAGGAAATATGTGACTTTATAGTCTATACCATGCTCTACATCAGGGGTGTCCGACCTTTTGGTGTCTCTGGGCCACACTGGAAGCAGAAGAGTTGTCTTGGGCCACACATTAAATACATTGCAACAGGTAATCACACACAAAAAATCTCATAATGTTTTAAGTAAATTTATGATTCTGTGTTGGGTCGCATACTCCAGAAGAAACCCAAAAGGTGAGGGAAAGTTGTCAGCACGGACAGGACAGCGAGTCGGGGAGTTAGGTGGGAGAGTCCTTGGGGAGCTGAGGTGCTGCTGAGTTGTTGAGTCACAACTGGAACCAAGGGACAAGTCCTTTGACCGAAGCATGTTACACTGATGACCTGGTTGTTCAATTTGCTTCTTTGGGGTAACTATGAATGACTTTATAAAATAAGCCTCAGATCTTTGATGGGGAAATTGTTTTTTACACTCTTCTGTGTTGGAGTAAAAACCCAATGTTCCTCCGCACAGCAGTTTCTCCAAAGATACTTTATGTAACATTATGTCCCTTGAGGTAAGTGATAAAGTCACTGAATGTGTGCTTTTATTAAGTTCTACAAATAGAGGCAGGGCATGCCAACATTAACCTTGCCCACTGCCCTGCACTCGTTTTTAAAAGTTCTTTGGCCTGGTTTACCTACTGTTGAAAATTAGAAGAGTTCAAACACACACTAGATTAATACAAGAACATTTTAATTTTAAACACATTCCCTTGGGAAAAGTGTATGTGTGTGTATATACATATTTTAAAGGTAAAAATTGTTCTTAATTGTGGAGGACACTTGGCCTTAAGCATTTGTTGGATGTGTTTTCTGGCAAAGCAACTGAGCTTCCCTTTGGAAAAGGTTAAGGAAAACTCACATTTTCATCCTTCAAAAAAAAAATCTGTATAAAGGCAACTCTCTTAAATGAGTGCAAAGTTTTAGTGAGGATAATGATTCAGTTTATTGGAATGAAGGCATCTTTTCAGGTGGGAAAACATGTTTCCTTGTAAAGTGACTGCAGCAACTTACAAGCAAACTCCCACAGGAAGCAGAGCCAGGCAGTGTTGTGGTGAGGGGCCCAAGATAAAAGAGAAATGAAATAGAGAAATTGACAGGCTAAGAATTACAAAGACCTTCTGAGAGCTGGCCTCCTACTCCGAAGACCAGACCAGAGTAACTGTTTCCAAGCAGTTAGCCCTATTCTCTGGCAGCTTTTTTCTTATACTTTTGTGGTCCCATCTGTGTCATTTACACTGGATCGGGAAATGCAAATGATTGAAAATGTCATACAGCCACATTTAGCCAGAACATTGTATAATAGCTATTTACAATTAAATTAATTTTGAGTACTTCCTCCACCTCAATTCCTGTCCAGTGACTTCAACGTCAATAGAGTATTGAGAGGGAAAGGAGCCAGAACACATGGTCCTGAAGCTATTTTCCCAAAGGCAAGGACTAGGTCTTTCCATCTCCTAGGACACAATGGCTCACTAAGTGGAGCACAGGGAATTGGGGAATGGGTGTGGAATGTGACAGCTGCATGAGATGTTTCCAAGTTGTGCACATGTAGGGCAGAGCTCCAGGCCAAGAAACCCCGGAGTTTCCTTTTGCAGCACACATCTAACTTGTTTGAAGAATGTCTAAGTTCTGGCTCTCACTGTTCCATTAGAGAGAGAACATGGACTCATTCCCCTTCTTGGCCATCTTCAGTGCTCCAAGGGTGGAGGAATTAGAGGCAATGCATTCAGTGTGGTGGGTGAGAGAGAAGTCATACTGCTTAAGGTTCTAGTGCTGCCCCTGCCTCTGAGCTAAGTACCTGGGCAAGTACTAAACCTCTGTCCTGGTTTCTTTTTGAATAAAATGCCCCATCGTTCCTCACTTGGATTGCTGAAATAGTAGTAATCTAGCTGGTTTTCCTGCTCCTGTCCTTGCTCTCCTATGGCTTATTCCCTACGTAACCATGAGAATGAGCCTTTAAAAACCTACAATAGATCATGTCATTGCTGTGCTCAAAAGCTCTCAAAGGCTTCCTACTGCTCAGAATAAAAGTCAGAGTCCTCAGAGTAAGCCAAAATGTCCCTTGGTCTGTCCCCTGTTCATCACCTATCACTTTGTCCCTAATGGTAGTCTGGAATCACTCTGGAAGTCTTGTTAAAACAGACCATGAGCCTCACCTTCGGAGTTTCTGGTTCACTGAGTCTGATGTGGGCCTGAGAATTTTAATTTCTAATAAGCTTCCAGGTGATGTTGCTACTGCAGTGTTGGCGTGGGGAGGGAACCACACTTTTGAAAACCACTGACCCAACCAGATCAACTGCTTTTGCATTCCTCCAGCATACCAGGCACATTCCTGCCTTAGGGACTTCGCATTTGCTCTCCCCTCTGCCGGCAGATTCTTATTTCAAAGGTCAGCATGGCTTGCTCATTTATTTCCATCATATGTCATTGCTCAGTGAGATCCTTCATGACTCTCTCTACTCCCAGCAGTCCCCATTCTCCTTCCTCCCTTTGTGTCTCTCCACAACACTTAGCACCACTAGGCACACTATATGTCTTATTTGTTTATTTGCCTCACTCATTAGCTCCATGAGACAGGGCTGATCTCACTGCAGTATGCCTACCACCTAGAATAGTGCCTGGCCCATAGGAGATAATCAATAAATACTTGCTGGATAAATAAATCTGCAAAATGGGATAATGACAGTACCAATCTCATAGGACCATTGTGAGGATTACTGATTGTAAAGCTCGTAGAACAGCATTTCACATAGAATAAATTTCAATAAATGTTACCGGCTACCATTACAAGAGGGAAACCAAAAGCATTTGGTGCACATTTGTGGAGACTCTGATGCTTCATCAGGTTGCCTTTCCTTCTAGTTGCGTCGGACATGGGATTTGCTCTGTACCGAAGGTTCTTTGTCCCTGCAAATGGATCACTGGTGAGTTTGGCTTATTATTTTCTCAATGGAGATTGGTTTACCTATCATTAATAGCTAAAAAGGGTCATCAGATAGGGGCAATGATTCTGTGAGTTAGAGCAGTCAAATTTCCACCTGGAAGAAAACTCCTGAGAAGATCAGACTTTCGAATTGTCCTTTGCACTTAACTCTCACGGCCCTGACCACTGGCTCTGCTTCTCTGCACTTGCCATGCTGGTCGCCATTCCAGAACAGGAGAGAAGGGATTTTACTGTCCACAGGGAATAAAAAAGCAGGCTGGAAATCAGCAATGAAAATTTGGGTTCAGATGAATTTACAATATAAGGAAAACTTACAAAGATCTTATTTTGTTGGAACGAGCCTTTGAATTTATTTGGTGGCTTCTGTGTTTTAAATCTGACATTTCATTTATGCAGGATCAGGCTGTGCTGCTATAGAGATCCCTCATGCAACTCAACCCTGTTGTCTTGGTCGGCTCTATGTAGAACCATCCAAAATGGGATGATGGCCAAGAGGAAAGGGAAACAATAGTTGTGTCTTGTGTACTCAGGAGCCTGTGAAATGCCATTTTCTAGCTCTGCATATTTTAGAACACCTCCTCTCTGTGCACATGGAGCTCTGTGTCTCTTGTCTGAGCAGCTTGCTCTTCAGACGTTTAAAACTCTTGCGTGATTGTGATGGTATTCGTTGCTTTGTACGAGAGATGCAACTGAAATATGTGATTAGCATTTTTCCCACTAATCCCCACTTCTTCCCCTTTTCTCCCAAGGTGTCTTTTGCAGCTCACATTGCAGGTGCATTTGCTGGAATGTCCATAGGGTACACTGTGTTCAGCTGCTTTGACAAGACACTGCTGAAAGACCCACGGTTTTGGGTGGCAATTGCAGCGTATTTAGCTTGTGTCTTGTTTGCTGTGTTTTTCAACATCTTCTTATCCCCAGCAAACTGATCTGCCCCTAATAGAAACCAATTAATAAAAAAGAGCCATCTGGGAAAAGAAAACTGGAGAACTCTATGAAGAAACAGAGAAGTCCCAGCAAGTGCCAACAATTCTAAAAGAAGGCAGAATGCCACTGAGGTCATCAGTGGCAAAGACTTCTAACAAAAGGACTTAGGTTTTAAGGAAGGAGCTTCTAAATGCAAGGGGAGGAAAGAGGAAGACAGAAAATGGAAGTAAAAACCAGAAACTGGGTCTTTCCCAGGCATATGGTGTAAACGCACGTATCCTGTAAAAGAGACTTGTTCTTGGAGGTTGTATCATGGAGAGGGCTTGACGGAGTCCATGAGTACTGTACTATGCTGACAATAAAACTTTTCATACTTGTGTCAGACTACTGGAAATCACTTCTGATCGCTGTTCCAGCGGACAGATCACTGAGGTGTTTTATGTACAACATTGCTAATCTTTTTTTATTGTTTAATTTTTTAAAAATCCTCACCTGAGGATATGCTTGTTGATTTTTAGAGGTGGGGGCAGAGAGAAAGAGAGAAATATTGATTGGTTGCCTCTTATACGCACTGTGACTGGGCATCAAACCCACAATCTATGTATGTGCCCTGACCGGGGATCAAATCAGCAGCTTTTTGGGGTACGGGACAATGCCCCAACCCACCGAGCCACCTGGCCACAGCTTCTGCTAATCTTTTTAAGAACCCAGAAAGGTGGCTATTCTCTGCATCTGAGAGAGGAGGACGTGGAAACTTTTTTCTTTTAAGATTTTATTTATTTTTAGAGAGAGGGGAAGGGAGGGATAAAGAGGGAGAGAAACAGCAATCGGTTGCCTCTCACGCTCTCCCAGCCAGGGACCTGCCTAGGAATCAAACCAGCAACCTTTCGGTTTGTGGGACAATGCTCAACCCACTGAGCCACACCAGTCAGGGCAATGACATGGAGACTCTTAAAAGATCAAGTAAGTTGTCTAAGAGGAAGCACAGTTTAAGACGGGCAAAGACTTGAAAGCCTGTATTGTCCTCCCCTACTGGTCTGACAGTGCTGTGTCCCCAAATACTGTAAGTTACGAACACTGCAGGAGTACAGGAATAAACACTTCTGTGGGTGCACCAGGGATGGTAGAAACACCTTACAGGAGAAGACAGAATTCTCTGGACTGCTAGTGTAAGACTGGAATAAGAAGCATAATTGGTAAGTACAAAATAGACAGGGGGAGGTTGAAAATAGTATAAGAAATGGAGAAGTCAAAGAACTTATATGTATAACCCATGGACATGAACTGAGTGGGCGAGGGGGAATGCTGGAGGGAGGTGGAGTATAGGACAGAGGGAGATAAAGGGGAGAAAACAAGTGGGATAACTGTAATAGCATAATCAATAAAATACACTTAAGAAAAGATTCTGATAGCTCGTCTAGCATCCCAAGGAACCTGCAACTGGCTTTCCAGTGTGCACTGTGCACCTGGCTCTGGATCCTCACCTATGATACAATTCTCATCCTTCACACGGTGCTAGTGGCTCTCCTGGGAGTGGTTAGGGTTTATTTACAGAAGGTAAAAATGCATCTGAAGCTGAGATGCCTGTGTCCTTTTCCTGTAGAGAACCCAGATTGCTGGCCATTCTTTTTCCAGAACAGTATTTTTAGTTTATCTGAACACAGAAAGTACAATCTTCCTTCTCTTATCAACATGCTTTATGCATACACACCCATCTAAACATGTTGCTGTCTTCTGAGAGGAGCACCTACACTTAATACAGTGAGAAAAATGTTCTAGCATTTTAAGAAAAGCTGGTCTGGAATTCGTTTAAATTTTTTTTGAGTATGAGAATATGAATGTGTTCTTGGTTAAACAAAGGTTTGAGCAATGACTTGAAAAGGTAACCCTCCTTTATTCTCCCCCTCTCAACCTGCTTTGTCCCTGGTGACGACCACTGGGAACAGCTGGGTGTGTATTCTACACCTTTTTCTATCCGGGATGAGCGGAAAGGGAAATGTATTTTAGCTGACAGCTGACTCTACTCACTGCACTGAATTGCGCTGACTCAGCTCTACACCCCAAGGGGCCAAACACACAGAACAACTTGAAGATGGCCCTGGTGTCACTTTTAAGCATAATGTGCTTCAGATTTACCTGCTCTAAGAAGGATTTGGGTTAACTATCTCTTTGTTTTAGCTAACTAAATATACATGTGAAATGTAGGTTTTAACAGGATAAAAGAAGTTATACTACATGTATTGTTTTGGAACTTGCTTTATACTGTGACAGATCTTTCTCTGTTCATTTGTAGAGATATTTATTCTCTGAGTTGCTGAATGATAAAGATATACTACAGTTTATTTAACCATTCCTCTATTGGACACTGAAGTTGTTGCTGATTTTTACTGTTACCAACAGTGCTATGCAGTGTGTCTCTGAGTATGTGTTCCAGAATGAATGAATATTTCAGGTGTCCAGAAACAGAAATAAGATGTTAATCTGGATAAATTTAAACTGCCTTTTAAGTAGCTGTTTGCATTTTACAGTTTTACCGTATATGAGTAACAGTTTTCTCATATTTTTCCCAAAGCAGATATTATAAATCTTTGAAATATTTGCATTGTGATAGTTAAAAACGCTTTAATTTGTATTTCTCTGAGGCTTAGTGTTTTTCCAGTTTATGAATAATTTATATATTACACATAATATAATGCATATAACATACAAGTATGAATGTATATTCTCCCCCCATGAAATGTTTATATTTAATCTGAAAAGTAGTTATTAGTGCAAAGAGGCCCAGGGAAGAAACACTCATCCGCCACAGTGAAGGTACCAGGTCACTAGCTCTGAGGAGAGACCTTTAATGACCTAAGGGCAATGTAGTTGTTAATAGAAATCTGGACAGAGCCGCAGCATTCATCTAACCATGAAATCAGACATGACCTATTGATTACTGAGACTGATGACTCAATAGTTATCTAGTCAGAAAGATTTTTAGGCACCAGAAGCACTGTTCATATGACCAAAAACAGTAGTTGTCTTATTGGGTTCCCCAGAGGGCAAAATTACCATGAAACACAAAAACATCTGGTGTTTTTAAACTTGATATATCTGACTTATAGAGGGATCATTTATTCAGCTTAATTTGGGGTTCGTAACTTTCGTCTTCTCAACTGTACTCGGTTACTGGAAATACTGCAAGTATTCTTGTCTGTGTTCAATAATGTAGCCGTTAGGCACAGGTAGCTTACACAAGCCACGCTGCCAGAGCTCAGAAGTCATATGCGGGTGGGGACCCCCTTACTGAACAGTGCAGTTAGAGTCTACGTCAACATTGGTGCAAAAGCTCTATTGGACAGCCTGTTTTAGAAGCAAGAATGGGCTGAAAGAGAAATGGATTTTAGTTGGTGGCTGACTCATTCACTGCACTGAATTGAATGGAATCTGCTCTGCACCTGCAAAGGGGAAAGTGCAGAGAACCAGCAGAAAATGGCTGTGGCATGACTCCTAAGAATGAGTTGCTTTAAATGCATCTAAACTAAGAAATGTGTGTGTTAATCTCCTTTTAGCTAATTAAGAGCCATTTCAAATGTTTTTATTTTTTGCTTTTGAATTCTACAGTACTGTATCTATGTATACTAGTATCCATGTCATTTGCTATGAAAGCTTTAGAACCTAAGGTTTGTAACAAAATAATACTGCTCCTTCTTTCATTAAATACCATGCACTTTAAGGGGAAAAAAAATCTTCTATTTGTTTGTGATTAGAAAGTAAAGTGCTCATGGTAAAATATATATATATATAAAATATATACTATATAAATCAAGTCAATTGTACTCATACTACCCAGAGATAACAGTTAACATTTTGATAATAATCCTTCTAGGCTTTTCTGTATGCATCTCTACATTTAAGTAAGTTTACAAAAATGGGACCATACTACTCTATTTTATAATCTGAATGTCACAGAAACAATTTATCAAAAGTCTCTTTATATTAACATATATTCATCATCTACTGTTGGCATAGTACTACACTGTGGATGTACTATTACTTATGTAAAATAGTCTTTCTTGTATTGATGATTATGTTGGATGTTTTGAAGTTATGATTACTATCATGAATAATACTCTGCTTACACTTTAAAGTGCTTTGGGTTGTTGGGTCAAGAGTATATAATTGTTAACATAAGGTTAAAAAGGGATTTTCTCTATCTCAAAAATGCAACTAAATTTTAGAAGGTTGATGCTTTTTCAAGTCTTTTTTTAACTGCATAAAGTTTTCAAAAAGGCTCTAACCAGTTATTTAAAAAGTCAAAACTAGCCCTGGCTGGCGTAGCTCAGTGGATTGAGCGCGGGCTTGGAACCAAAGAGTCCCAGGTTTGATTCCCAGCCAGGGTACATTCCTGGGTTGCAGGCCATAAGCAGGCCATAACCCCCAGCAACCACACATTGATGTTTCTCTCTCTCTCTCTCTCTCTCTCTCTCTCTCCCTCCCTCCCTAAAAATAAATAGATAAAAAATCTTTCAAAAAGTCAAAACTATCACTATTTAAATTATTAAACGTTCAAGAGAAAACAAAATTTTTAAATCTTTTATGCAAATTTTAAAAATATGCTTAAAGAGAAAAACATAACAGTTTAGTACAAACAGTTAAGAGCTGACTTCAGAGCCACACTGATTGAATCTGAATTCCAGTTTTAGCTATGTAACCTTGGATAACTTAAGGTGTGATTCAGTTTCCTCACTGTAAAATAGGGAAGCAACATATGGACCTACCTACCTCATAGGATTTTTGTGATGAACGTTAGCATGTAGTTTTATTTATTTATTTATTTATTTTTTAAAGATTTTATTTATTTATTTTTGGAGAGGGGAAGGGAGAAAGACAGGGAGAGAAATATCAGTGTGTGGTTGCTTTATACATGCCCCCCCACTGGGGACCTGGCCTGCAACCCCAGCATGTGCCTTGACTGGGAATCGAACTGCAACCTTTGGTTCGCACACAGCGGGGCGATCAATCCACTGGAACCACACCAGCCAGGGATCATGTAGCTTTAATATCCCAGTATGTTGTTTGACTGTGTAACACTTCCCTTTCTATAACGGGTATAGGACATACATTTATATGTTAAATGAAAGTGAATGAAAACATTCGTTCTTTTTTCTTTCCATTGGGATATATTTTGTCTTCGATATCCTAGGATACCAACCTTAATATAAAACCTACTGGCTGATAATTCAAGCCACATACATTATAACTTGTCACATTGTTCCCATGAAAGCAAGCTACATGTCTTAAATAGGTCAAATACCGTTACAATGAAAATTTCTATAATACCATCACCACACCAATGTTCCCTTTATTTCAAGTAATATCTAACAACATCCTGGTAGT